AATATCTCTGTCATATCTCATAACAATATATTTGTATTTGTCGTGCTAAAAAGCTCTTGGTGTGGACCAGTAAACACAATAAAGTGTTGGTGCAAGAAATGTACCTGTTTGAACCCTGGAATTTCAAACGAAGGAGAAAACAAAGGGGTCCAGTTTGGGAAAGAATATTAAGTGAATCCCTCAATCAGTATGAATCTCCCAAGTTTACAGTAAACCAGAAGTCAGTACGTGATCACTACATACTCCTGGAGAAAGAACAAAAGAATAAAATAATAGAAGAAGAAAATGCCAGTGGGATTGCTCCAGTGCATACATGATTTGATGACTCCATGGCCGACATAATTGAACGTTTTAGAGAGAAAGATGGTGAAAACCAGTAACTGGATATACAGAAAAGAGGGGAAAAGCTGATGAAGAGACTGCCAAGGCAGTAGAAATGCGTAAATCTTCAATGGAGACTTAAGCCTTTTGCGAAAAGAGGAAGGATGAACAAGAAGAAAGAAATCCAAACGTTCCACCGGCACAGAAACTGTTGCCCATTTAATAGTATAGGAGCAATGGTATTCCCGTGGGATTTTCGTGATGATTTCAAGCGAACAGTGCAGAACTGTTAAGGGGGACCTAAGGAACATGTTTAATGTTGTCGGCACTTTTGTATTACGTGCAGAGGATTTTTAGAAGGCGTTAAAAGAAGACCACTGTTCTCCCCTACATGAGAACGAGGCTGAACTATAGAACGACTGAAAAATGGCCGTTTATTGGAATTTTGGACAGTCAGTTTCGATATTCTGAGATATTGTCTTACTTAATAAGTAGTTGGTGGCGACACTTTTGCGTGGTCACGTGACCCGAAGTAGAGCCTTAATACAATGTGACCCTTAAAGAGTACTAACATTTATACCTTTTCATATTGACAAATTGAAAGCCATATTATTCAACAAATTTCGACTCTCTAATCTTTCTTCACCTCACTGTCAGGGTCCTTATCCTCAATTTTTAATGTATTAGTAACTTCACATGCAAATTCACAGGGATCATCACAGTCACAGCAAGAGCAGAGGTAGGCGTAATTCAAACCTGATTTCCGGCAGTGGCGTCGATTGTGTGTGCGTCGGTTCTTTCACGGCTGCACTTGAGCAATTGGACGATTTCTTCAGGAGCAGGTGCTTCTTTTGTCAGAACGGGATCCATTTTTCCTCCCTTTTCTCCCATCGAATCCATCTGGCTGTGGCAAACTAGTACAGCACACTTTATCACTGTTCCAAACTATCACTTTGATAGTGGGCGCGGAGGATCGCTTCATAAAATGACCCTTCGTTTGGTGGAAGCCTATCCGATTCGCCTGATTTGTTTCTGAACATACATGTATGCCGTCTTAGTTCCTTGACTTGTGAGATACCGGTTCCGGGCTGATAAAGCTGGCTTATAAACTTCTCCATAAGGACTAATATCTCATCTCGGGGGATGCACTGTGGCTCCAAGGCTTCCCAAAGCAGTTATGGTATCTTCTGTGTCCATGAACGTTTTCCAGCATAGAAGTTTCTCTTAAACAGAAAAACGCCCAGTGATACCAGCGTGGAACGCTGGTAATTCGGCAAGTTTAACACTACCGAGGGCTCAAGCCATTGGACTAAGACCAATCAAACGATGGTTATCACCCATAGCAAAGACAAAAGATGTCTTCACACACAGCTCCGCATAGCGCCTTAGAGGCACAACTAACATCTGTGTCTGGAGAATAGATATAAAGCTCCATTGGCAGTTGCGTCCAGAGCATGTAACAACATCTTGGTGTCTGCTTCTTCTTGATGACTTTAAGGATGGTTCACATTTTGTTATGTTGCACGACACTGGTAACCCCAGGCTCCAACAACTTTTAAATTTGTCTTCATAGCATGATCTAGGAACTTTTCTACCAGGTAGCTAGATAGCTCGTTGTCGATCTTACTATGAGAAAAGCGTGGGATTACTAATACGTTCATATACGCCATCTTGACGAGCCTGCCCGTTTACTCAGGTAGTTGATTTCAGACATATTGGCTAGTCATATCTATCGAAAATCAGTTAGACCTCATCATTGGACTTGTACTTATGGATGATTCTGGCAGTAGAGGGCTCAGCTCATTGGGAACAGTCTTTGATATCGACCGCCTTGCAGAGAGATTGACGTTTTGCCAATTTTTGGCGTCAACAAGAGCAACTCGCAGTTGAGATGAGGGTTCCATATTCACTCTTTCATTCGCACTTGCCTGAGGACCAGTAGTCGCTCTTTGCTCTGATACACCACCAAGCGCTTAACTTTTCAAGAATTGTCATCGAAGCGCCCTTTGCAAAATAGTGGAGCATTTTACCATCGAGTGCAAACAAAGACCTCGGAACTGACAGAAAACTCAAACTGGCCAGTCACTGAAAACACTCATTTTGTGCAGCTATTGATTACCTACCGTAACAAGAGTGCAACTTCAAAAAGTACATTCATTTGTTTTGAATCGTCACTACTTTTCTTTTCTACTAGATGAATGGTGGTATCCCGTGTCTTCTTAACGCTTAGCCGATCTGATTCGTTAGCTTTTAGTGGTCGGTGAAATTTCACTTCAGGTATCTAAGTCTGAGTTAACGGTTTTAGCGTTTTTCGATTGCATACACCCTCATGGACATTGTTTGCTCCAATAAATTCTCCCATAAACACGCCGCTTGTAGGTCGGACATAGTCAATGTCATACCTTTCTTAAGTTGATCTCTGTCATTACTGAAAACTCTGTACTTAAGGACTGAGTAGCAGAAGTAAAAGGGCTTTCCCGTGAGACTCACTGCCGTCACAAAAGAAGCATCCGTCCATGTTAAATGGTGATGTTTTAGATCTCGTTAGCTGCGGCGGTATTTCCTCTGGCGCCACGTTTGAAATCTTCCCTCTTGTTTCATTAGGTCCAGCCAACTCTCTCTCGTACCGTTCTCTTGGTCGCTTAAGCATCCTCGTATAGACCGCGAGCAGTCTCTCTTTTTCTCGATAATCTGACAATTTTTCAGTGTCCCTTAAATACATCCTACACGCATTACAGAAGTGCCGACAACATAAACATGTTCCTTAGGTCCCTCTAAACACTTCTACACTGGCCGCTTGAAATCATCACCAAAATGTCACGCATATGCTCCCTGACTATAAGAGAAAAGGCTGAATTAGATGCAAGCCTAAATAGGGGGTGTTGCAATTGAGAAAGCCAGAGCTTGATGAAAAGAAAGTCCAGCAAGAGGGCCTTATGGCACAGCAGGAGAATCTTACAAACTAAGATGCTCTGTAAAAGCATTAAAAGCCAACAGAAACAACAGGGGCAGCTGCTTCAGCAAATGAAACTGCAGAAACTGCAGAATACAGCTTTCCTAACTTTACTGTAGGGTGCAGTACAGTGCAATAAAGTGGAGTGAAGTAAAAAAAAAATCATATGTAAAGCCTTGAATCTTGTTATCGTACAGAACTGACAGTTATGATACAGGAATGTCAGCTGTTTACAAAAAGAATTCTTGCAGTGTTGGTGGTTGGACTTCAAAATATTTGGAAGCTGCTGAACTATGTAAGCAGCAACTAGCATTTTGAAAGTGCAAGCAATGTACATTTTTTCAACCGCACTGAGTTGCACTTTGAAATTATTTTTAAAATCTAAGAATTTAAAGTAATTACTCATGTCCTTGAAAATCCATTCAACTGATACCCTCACACTACTCATGGCACTATTCCAATCCATCTCGTTCTGAGTAAGCTTGCTCCTTTAAAAGAACTTTGCAGCTGCGGACGATGAGGGTACGCAGGGTCACCATACAAACATAAATTAATGGGTCTCCATTTGTGGCCCTAGAATTTAATAACAGTTGATTGTATAAACTAGACTCCTCTAGCATTGAACTATCGTGTCGTTTTCCCTCTACCGGTCCATACAAATTGGCTAAAGGACCGTTTGTAACAGCAACGGATTGAGATTTTGTGGCGTGAACTTTTTTGTGTCAGTTATACAGTATACGCTTAATGTCAGTTCCCGAGGGAAACAGTTAGTTTTGTTTTTTCGAGAGTCCTGATGTTTCCCGAGACGAAGGCGAGAGAAACATCAGGACTCAAGGGAAAACAAAACTAATTGGTTTCCCGAGGGAACTAACATTAAGTGTTTTGTTATATTCCTGGACGTTTACTTCAACAGTAACAAGGAATTAAAGAACGAATGAAAACAATGTCAGTACTTCAAAAGAGCACATTTAATTCAAATCTCTGTATGAAAAAGTAGTTTCTGGACTTAAAAGCTCAATATTGAGATAAGCTCAAAGAAAATCACTTGGAATTACATTTATGAAAATTTATAGTGAGAGCTGCTCCTGAAAATGCGCCTGTGTTAAAGTTAACCGTTTTCTGGCTTTCGGATACGAAATTTTGCATCGTGATGGGTGATCTTGGCACTGTGTTTCCGACTAGAGGACAATCTGCCTCTGTTTGCTCTTGCCTGTCTAAACTTTCAAAACATGCAGTGCTGAGTGAATGGGAAATTTCCGTTTGTTTAACCTCAGAAAGGCGCCTTGAATAAGAGCGAATGCTGCTCTCAGACTTGAGGCCAGAAACACGCATTACATGGCGGGCCTCAAAATTACACTCGTCTAATAACGATACGGCAATTACGCTAATACAGTGATTGGTGTACTGATAAGACAATTGCATTTCCTTTGAAATGGAACTCATTAACGTAGCTAGCGTATTTTTTTCCCTGAAGAGCGTTACAATACCAAACTACATCACTTTTGCTAAAAGTTTCACGCGCCTTCGGCCTTTACCACAAACAAGACAAACTAGAATTAAGCTTTGATAAAAACAGTTTAAGAGTTTTTGCTGGACAGTATGGACTGTTCGGTCTTTTATACATGCGGCCTTCACCAGGAGAATCATCTAGTTGACCCTTTTCCCTGTGATTTTTGTCCAGTTCCTCAAGTGCTCGATATACGTACTTCTTACCAGTTGCATCAGCCTACACGGCAAACGTCTGTTTTGTAAGAAGACGGAGATTTTCTCTCATGCGGCGAATTAGGTGGAACATAAGATTAAACCAAGCCACTTGCTGGAGGGATTTAGGATCTGGAGAGGATGGATTGCACCAAGACTGAATTTTTTCTAGATCTTCCTTTGATGTCGGCCTGTGGTGATCAACACTGCCAAATCCTTGCCTCTTTAACTCGACAACTGTCGCCTCATAAACTTGATTTGACTTGGAAAACTCGCCGACATTAATGATGTCAAAATCTCTTTTCATTAGAAAGTGCCTTTGCAGACTAAATCGTAGTCCCATCAAGAAAGTCTTTCTGTAATTGTCTCCTTTCTTTTCCCGGACTTGCCTTCGCGTTGTAAGACCGTAAAGTCCCTATTATTGTTAATAGAAATCTGTACCGCACAGTTTCTATAAAAATATTCAACTGCCCCTGACATAAGAAGTTAATTAAACATGGAAAATAAAACCTAAAACCTATCTGAACTCCTGGAACTAGCAACCAAGAGGTGTGTTTGCATGAGAATATCGTAAACATGGTTGTGGCGTCAAGATATTTTGCTCTTCGCGCGCTAACCACGCAAGCACCAATTTAAAAACGCTATTGAGTTGAAAACTGGATATATTTGCTTTTTTTAGCCATTCCCTCGTCAGCGGAAACTTGGAAAATCTTTACAAACATGCTGTGGCAATTTTGCGCGTAGGCTGACATTTTAAGGTGGCTTGATATAGTTTTTCAGGGTCAATACTTCCCAAGTTTGAGCATAAACTATGTCGCCATAAACAAAGATTTGAAAAAATTGCCACCACATTTGTATCAGATAAAGATGAAAATCTTTTTATGATCAGGGTTTGCAATGCATAGAAATGTTACAGCAACGAAATGACACCATTACGTATTTTACTTGCAGCACTATTTCTCGGCACTGAGACTGTTCTTCCAAAATCGTGAACGGGAAAATGGAAAATGTACCGAATTTGGGCGAATTAGCACCGCGGGGCTTATTTGAGGGTGATGCCTGATACCATAGTAATACCGCTTAGTACCGTATTGACGCGAATAAACTCTACGGCACTTATTATCTTTTCTCCCCTTTTTCTCCAGTTAGGACTTTATTGCATTTAAGGACAAAAAGTTGCTACATTTAGGACTTTATTCATTATTACATTTAGGGTCGTTTATTACATCTAGGCCTTCTACAACATGGGTGATTCCGGTTTTGGGGGTACAAGACGAGAGCATTCCTCGTTCTAATTCTGCAGCCTTAAAGCCTTAAACCCTTCTGGTGTGTCCTGTAACAATAACGAAAGTTTTATTAACGCAATAAGACCTTTTCAAAATCTTTAAGAGAATAAAAATAAAATATATTAAGGTGTAAATACCACCCTACTTTGAGCCAAGACTCACGGGGAGAGGTGTGGATATATATGTTTTGTTTGTTTTATTATGTTTGGTTTGTTTTCGTTTTCCTTGTAGGGATCGTTGGAATGCTTTCGATTTCCTTATCTTTGTTGTTTATATATTTGCCATACTGCCATTGAGAATTGCCACATGGGTGGAATCGGAATCAGTAAACAACAACAGGATTTTGGCTGTAGCTGGCTATCTTTACGGCTTCAACACGATGTTTATTACGTTGAGAGCTTTTGGATCGATTTTCGAAAGTATTAAAAGCGTTGGAACTGTACAGATCGCATTTTTTCACATCATCGAGGATGCAGTTGTGGTAGTGGTACATTTTCTAACAATAACGTTGGCCTTCGCCAGCTGCATAACTAAAGTACTTGTGGCCGAGAAGACAATGGTCAGCACAAACACCCCTGAAAAGCAACCGTGAGTTTTTCCCCTGACTCGTCTTTATTGCAGTATTAGTTAAAGCACTGATTAGGAGCGATCACAGCAGCTTCTAAAAAATTCAAATTTCCTTCCCTTATGTATAGAGGTAAACTTAGTTTTAGGAAGCATAAGAATGCAATGAAGTTTTTTCCTCGAAAGATCTCTTTGTTTCTAAGTGGACCGAAGAAAACCGTTTTTCGCCCTGGGGCGTAAAACGGATTTTTTCCCATGCAATCGTATGAAATTCAGGTTATAATTCAAGTGTTAGAAGAGGTAGAAGGGTGCCCAGCAAAAACTGAGATTCCTGCGATTTTTTCAAAAAAATGCGAAAACTTGGAGAAATCGCAGAATTTGCTAAAGCACGAAAATTAATTAATTCAAGTGTTGGAAGAGGTAGAAGGCTACATAACAAAAACTGTGATTTCTGCGATTTCTGCGATTTTCCAAAAATTTCCAAAAAAAAATAGAGAAATCGCAGAATTTGATAAGACTACTAAATAAAATTCAGTGTTACAGAAGGTAGAAGGGCGCCCAGCAAAAACTGCGATTTCTGTGATTTTTCCAAAATGTTGGAGAAATCGCAACAATTGCTAAAATTAATTAATTCAGGAGGTAGAAAGGTATTCAGCAAAAAGTGCCATTTCTGCG